GATCGAATCAGCCAGTCAGTGATCGAAAAACTAATTAGACAGCATTGCCATCGGGTAAGTTATAATAGCTATTTATTACTTTGGTACTTGTCCATCATGAGGCGACAAATGAAAAGCCGTTCTTCGCCGCTGGACAGGATTTTTCATAGGAGTGTTGGTAATCATTCGAAAGCTTATATCTCTGGCTAAGTGCCCACTTAGCCCGTTTTTCAAAACAAACTCTTCCAACGTCGTAAAATCCGGAATAAAATTATGTTTCACACGACCACGTGTTTTTCCTTATATCGCTTGCACTTCTTTGGACAAAACTCCTTTCTTAGATTGGTAGCAGTCTTTCGATAGCACAAGTTTCGAAGCGCTCAAAAATGTGTTTGCTTTTTGGAAATGCTCTTCGGATGGCGCTGTAGGAGTAAGAAAATATTTGTGCTTCGCACATCGCGGGACGAAGCTCCTCCTTAGAGTACTATATTCATTTGATAGCACAAATTTCAAACTCAAAAATGTGCTTGCTTTGTGGAAAAGCTCTTTTGATAGATTTGTAGGAGAAAGGAAATATTTGTTCTTGAACCTCGCCGAACAGAGCTCTTGCTTTGACTATTAGTAATCATTCGATGTCGTAAATTCTGATGATTTTATCGTTGTGCTTACTTTCTGGAAATACCGTTTAGCAGGGAAAATCGACTGAGTTTCACATTTTCGACGACCTTATTTACCAGCTAATTCACGGAGCGGGAGGATCGATCGCGTTCAAAATTTTGTTAATTAATTGGGGATTTTTTCATCCCAGCTACAGAAACTTCCGATGAAATAGTATAATACTGATACTACAAAAAATTCTCTACTTGCTGATACGCTTTTCGTGCTTCTAGCGATCTAAACGAATGGTAAAAATGAAAGCGAAAGGTGAGTGGGAAGCAAAATTTCTTATTGATGCTAATGCATTATAAAAGGGTATTTTAAATAGACAGGGACAAAGTGCTGTATCTAGGTATTTAAGCCTTCAAATGATCATCAACACTTCATGAAAAGTTTCTGTGCAGCGAATGAGACAGGTTTATAAATTTGTCGCCTTCTGACATATAGGTTTCAAATGCTCTAAATTTAGGAGCACGACTGTAGATTACATTTCTATACATATGAATACATGTACATGTATATGTACATATATATGTGCGTGTATATGCGCATTTATATACGCATGTATAACACATATATATGTATATATATGTGTATATCATTGGTATCTTGTATCGATCCATATCCGTTCGTCAGTTTTCTACCCAAGAGTTGCCCTATGGGGTGTGCATTGTAGACTATTTTCACCCAGGATCCTTGTGAGAAGTCTCACTGCCAAATTAATCGTTTTCCTGTTGAGTGTTTGACTTTTTGCGAAACGGAGCCTTATCGACTCCAGTCCTACGGTTGCTCGAGTTCATCATACGTCTGGATCATTTTCTTCTTACTTTTTTTTCTTTGTGTCCATACCTCTTTGATCACTGCTTCTTTTCGGTTTTTGGCGGTTTGGATACGGTAGTAGTTTGGCCTTAAATACATCATCTCTGATACATGGTCCACTCTTCAAAAGGTCTCTTTCCTTTTAGATATGAGTTCTGCTGATGCTGGAAAATCTTCTTCTTTGTTATGCATATCGTTTTTCTATCTGTTTTTTTTTTATGTCTTCTGGTCGAGTCATTTGTTTCCGGTCTCCTGAGATAGCACTGCTAGAGCATCTCTATGTGGATTGACTGATATGAGCCGGTCCCAGTCAAACTGTTACCAATTTGCCGAACTTAGAATGAACCTTGCGGGTTCAACCCAGGACCGTGTTCGTGATCAACTCAGCTGCCTGGCTTTGTATACTGTCAGTGACATAGATCTCTAACTAACACGTTTTCTAATAGTTACTGCACTGATATAATGACCATTCGTCGTTCCGCTCCCCATTGTGTGTGTTTTCCGACTTCTTTTCTCCATCAGTATTGTTGTGCTCGTTTCTTCTGCCTCCTTCTAGTCAGCTGTGAAAGAAAAAAGTTGATCTTTATGCTCTTCGACCATTTCGATAGCTAGATTATTAGAATATGTGGATTCTTTGAGAGCAAACGTTATGCATTCTTCGATTGATATTCTCAGATTGGTCAGCGTTTGCGGCGTTCAACCTCAGTGATCCAATTTTTTTCCATTGTTGTATATCCACGAATACTGATCAATAAATAAGCAGGGCTTCAACCAAACGGGAGTTGAACCAGCGTCCCACCCATGCCATAGACTTGCGCTCTGCTGTCACTCTGCGTTGTAGGGCAGGGCATCAGCACTGTTAGCAACCCTTCTCGGATTATCTTTTGACTCTCAACCCTTTTTCTTCAAAAATCATAACGTGTAGAAAGCCGATCCATTGTGTTCGTGGGGAACTGAAGACACTGAGTACTCCCTTCCAACTTTTCGGACACAGTTTTTCCAAGTATTTTAGAGTAATTCCAAAAAGAATGCTTACAGTCTAAACTAGGTTTGTATGCCAGGGCCATACACCGGTGTTTCGGAGGTTTCGGCCTCCTCGTCAGTGACCCCGCCCCACATTATGCCCTGCATTGTAGCAAGTAGGGAGGCGTATGTGGTGATGGCACAGTGTACAATGACACTGGTCCATCACCACTTCTCAGTCGATGAATTTCGGCTGGTAGAACAAAATTGATCCATAACATCGACTGTTTTCAAAACCTCGCCTCTCTCCTTGCTGCAATGCAGTGCTTAATGTGGGGCGGGGGTCACTGACAAGGACTCCGAAAGCTCCGAAACACTGATGTACAGCCCTGGCGTACCAACGTCGTTTAGGCTATGAACATTCTTTTTGGAATTACTCTTAAATAGTTGTGAACTGTGTCCGAAAAGTTTGAAGGGAGTATTCAGTTTCCTAGCAACAAACCATACCGTTAAACTTAATTGCGAAATTGAAATGATCTTCATCATGATAATGATGGTGATATTTTCCATGAAAACGTGAGAAAACGTTTATTTGCTGTTGTATACGAGTGATAATTTTGTTTTGATTTGCTTGTGGTGATAAGGGTTATAGCTGCATAAAGCGATACGAATGCGGTAAGGTATAATTCAGTTGTCAACATGCCCTGCGGACGCAGTAGGAGCCGTGCCCGTAGCAGAAGAAGTCGGAATCGCAGCTATCACTCGCGCTCGTTGAGCCGACGAGCACGGCGATCACGCAGCCGACGGTCGCGATCATGTGAGTCCTAACAGACTTTATGAATCGGGGTCTCCAATTCATTAGAGTAAGGCATGAGTTAGAACTGTTGTGTTAACTTCTATTCAATAGCAGTGAATTATGGTTGGTGTCCTCGTAGCTCTCCAGAACTCGCACCTTAGTCTTATTCGTTTACTACGATAAGCGAAATCTCATTGTTGCTGCCGAGATACTTGCCCTGCAATATCTCCCCAAAATTGTGCTTCCGTAATTCTACTTATATTTTCAGTTAATATGGTATTTATTTCCAAAATCATATTTATGAATGCTTCTCTTTTCAGCACGACGAAGCAGAAGGCGTCTGCGCAGCCGAAGAAGCAGATTGCGTAGCCGCCGATCTCGTCGTCGAACGAGAAGGAGCTCAAGCAGAAGAAGAGTACGATCGCGCCGCAGTCGAAAAGTCCTCAGGTACTAATATAATCTGCACTCACTATAGGCAGTGAAATGTGGATGCCTTAGAATTCTAGACACTATGCCCTTCCATCGAGGAGTCCTTTTCTATTTTTCCGCTTTTCTGGAAAACCTCAGCGTGCTTGTGTTTTCTTGTCGTTGTTAACCAAATTGTGTTGATTTCAGATCCAGGAAGCGACGCACTCTTCCACCATGCAACGATTGGGGCCAATTCGTGAAAGTCTGATCTGCTGAGAACTGACACAGTCTACTAACACCATGAACAAGCTAACACTCTACTAATAAAAATTTATTCATATTGTTTGCTCAGACGCAAAAGTAAAAACGAGAGTACTCGGTATCAGTAGTAGTTACACCGGTGTACAGTGGAAGAAAATAATAAAGTGCGTAATTGCTTGAGTAGGGTAACGTCTACATCTAAAGTTCTGAAGTCGTGTAAAATGGTTCTTAGTGATACTTATCAAATCTGATTTTTTGTTCATGAAAAATACAGAAAACCGATTTTATACGTATGAAATACGTGCGAATGTAAACACGTTTGCACGTGTACTAGAATCGAACCGTCTTTCCAGGATGTGTATGGATTTCTGAGCTGATTTTCTTCATCACGCTGGTGCATGAAATCTCACAAAGTAAGGATCTGTTAATTATGAACGTGTTACATATAACCGGACGTGCACTATCTGGAGGCCCACGACAGCATGTTCAGCCGTTGTTTGTACCTCCAATAGGACATCGGTTTTCTTTGTGGAATAAAAGGGACTTCTTAACAATTGATGCCATAAATTGCCAACCACCGGTGAAGGGCATTGGAAAAACCAGTTTGAAAATTGAATACATCATTGAAAAGCGACTACTTATTGCCGTCTGACTGGAGGCATAACTTTTAAATATTTCGCTTTCCAAGTGATATATCATTTGAGATTAATTATCTGCCGCACAAAAATTCTGCTCTTCAGTGTTATAAGCGACTTTTCTCCGTGTGCAATAAGTATAACTGCCCACAGACTTTGCTAATCATATAGCATGCTTTTAACAGTTTGTGTTAGGCAGGCGCTTGTTTTGTACTCAAAGAGTCTTCAGTAGCACAGTCACTCGATCATTCCATCGCTTAAGATTATGCTCCTCTATGAAGTAATAAACGCCAAGTGATAAACCACCGCAACTCAGGTGATAGAAGTCGGTGACAAAGCAGAGAGTAGCAGTCGAGTTTGTGGCTGATAAAATGAACCATATCTCTCCATATCAAAAACACACGCCTATCATGCACTTAGATGTGACAAAAGGCTCAAAACGTGCCATATCCCTAAGAAAATTGAATAGTGAGCAAAAATACGACCTCAGACGGCAGTCGAAACCGCGCTTCATCCATGCCGGTGACGCGTGCTAACACTGCACCACCGGGGCACATTCGCACCACCACTCATTCTTCAACATCTCTTTGTTAGCTGTCAGCCACCAATCTTTAACAGGTTTGGTCGGGTACGATATTTAGTTATTACAATGGCTGCCAGCTCAAGCGGGTTAATGAAGCGGAATCGCAAAGCCGACCAACCTGCTAAAGGTTGGTGGCTGACAGCTAACATCGAGATGTTAAAGAATGAGTGGTGGTGCAAATGTGCCTCGGTGACGTTGTGGTGATCTCAGAACATGTCATATTTTGATTGCAGCATTATCGTTTTAAGCGGAGTCTATAAAAAATGGCCGATGGAGTGGAAAACACAAACTATTAGGTCATCCATAGCTTCGGCAGTGGTGCATTAAACAATAAATCTATTAAACAATAATGAATAAAATTTTGTATGCTTTTGGATTCGTTTAACTGTGCATTTTTCTCAAGCAGTTTATCATATGACTTGCCTAAACTTGTTTAGAGATGGAGGTGTTGTGAGAACAATTTTGCTTGCTACTCACGCACGAATGGCTCGTGAGAGAGGCCGATAATGAAACGGAGCGCAAGAGTAAAGGAGTTTGGGACGATGATAAGGTTGCCGAAAGGGCGGCTAGAAAGTGGTCCTCGAAGTTGTATGCTGGAAGGAACAGTCTGAAGCGAGAGAAAGAGAGCATTCATGTTCTCCTGAAATGAATCTTTTGATCCGACGTTCAGTGTTTGTCACGTAAGATCTTATGTATTGGGGCCAAGCTTCAATGTCTTTTCTGTTTTGAGAAACTCCTTGTCGGTGATGAGATTAGAAATCCTCAAATCTTTTTTGAGGAAATGAGACGTGCACTGCATGTGTTTTTATTTTTCGGCGCTTCTGGAAGTATTAGGTGCTCTCATTGTCTTGCAAACATATGCAATAAATGAAAATGCAAGGAAAGTCGCTTAGAGAAGCTTTCAAATGTTTATTCTCAAATAGCTATGTTTGCATTCTCAAATTAAATAGAAAAAAGGTCATAAATTACGATCAAGGTCGGCTTAATCTTCAGTCAAAGCGAAGCTAAGAATTTTCACAGAAAAATACGGGTTTTTGCATTTAATAAAAAAACTGAGTATCGGTGGAGTATCCTTTGGCATGCTAAGAAAAAATTTGACATTTCCCACCCATAGAGGTAAACCAAGCTTCTGAGCTGCTTCACAAATCGTGAATATGGAGGCAGTTTGGTTTTGTGACATTTATCGTGCCTTTTGTTTTGTAAATGGAATTTAAAATATTGTTATTTTGGTTGGTCTCTGCATAACGTGACTATCCCGTAACAACTTTTTTCGAGAATCAAGTGTCTGCCTGTTTCAGACAAATTTGATGATGTGATTACTTCGGTATTGGGGTGTCCCATGATTTTTTTTTTTTGTTATCCTATTGTTCAATTCGGATGTTTTCTTAAGATTGGGTTACTGTTAAAGCTATTATACGTTGAGGAATGTTGCAGTGGTTTGGGCAAACTTTTGCATACGGTCCTGGCACCATCGCTCGCCATCTAAATGAGATCCGCTAACCGAACCTGATATTGCAAAGTCAACTCGCCAAATTTTGGCAAACTGGGTTGAACCACAGTGCCACATCCACCGTGTAGCCCTGATACTGCTCCACTGGACCGTCATTTCTTTCGCGCTTTGAAGCAGCGTCTGCGAGGGAGAAAATTCAAAGAGTGCAAACATCTCACAGGTGACCTCTCTGACTTCTGTGATAGCTAGACTCATTTTTATTGGGAAGAATCTTTGTTCAGCAAATAGTTGAGTTTCATAAATCATGGTGGTGTTTACTGTTAATTAATTCATCTTTTTTAATTGTAGTTGAATCGACAGTAGTGTCGAAATGCGAAAGAATTTATCGAAAAATCCAGTATCAAGACAGGATACGCTTCGGGGTTTCATGGAGCTGGGGCGATGGTACAGTTGCCGAAAGTATAGCTAGGAAGTGGTTCGCGAAGTTCAGCGCTGGAGGGAACAGTCTAGACGATCAGTAGCGTTCGAGCCGTCCACAGGAAATGTATTATAGTCACAAATCAAATACTGTATCTCGTTGTCAATGAATAGCATTTTGAATAATGCATTTATTCGTCGTAACTTAGAGAATAGACAAAGCAGATCCCTCTTATAAAGTTTACGATATACAAATCAACACAGCCATAGGTGTAGCGGCACTGCGAGAAAATACTACTCGAAGCACCTTCTCAAAGGTTTTCTACCCGAAATTTAATTTCAATAGGTCCTTTGATGAAAAAAAATTGACACCCTCTAGGGAATAGTCTCTTACTCGTTACGAAGTGAATGGCAGTTTGATATTACAAACAGAATCCTTTACATAAATACGTAAGCTCCGTTACTATGAACAAAAGTGCTTTTCAAAATACAATAGTTTGGTAAGCCGTGAATCAACAGAAACCATAAGATGCACGAAGAAACAAACATTCATTTTCTTAACCTTGGGATAAATCTCTTTTAATAATAAAAGTAAGATAAAATGATATGGAAAACCACACAAGATGATACAAAGCATATGAACTCAATGAAAACAATATGAAACGTGGTGAGAATGCGTTATACGTTCATTCGACGACCTTGTAATTTGATGTTCCAACAGGCAAGTCTTGCGTTACCATGTTGTCGACAATGATACAACGCTGTGGAGTATCCTGCATGTCGACTGTAAGAGGTTTCGATTCCTATCAAAACATCTTCTATTTTGACACATCCGAATGCTAAAATGCAGCAGTAAATCAAGAAAACTTATTTGAACTCCTCACACAGATTTGTAACTTTAACTAAAGAGCATATAAACTAAAGGAAAGAACTAAGACGTGGGTAAGGAAAACATTTCTCCAACACATTCACGAGCTTGTAAAGCTTCGTATGCGCACGAGAGAGCTCGTTTCGTATGGTGCGCATGATTTTCTTTTTTTGCAATCTTAGTAAGACCAGAGCGCTTTCAAGTGATTGCGGAAAAACTACGTGTATCTTTAACCATTCGGCCATTTTAGCCCTCCTGTCAGAAGGTGAATTAACGCGAACTATTATTCCATGCTCCGAGCTCTACTCATGACGCACCTTGTTAACTGGAAACTAGAGGAAATATATGTTTTGATGAAGACATTAATGTGAAATTACCCTTCTATCTGCTGAAGATTGGGAAGGGGGCTCCGTGGTCGAGTGGTTGTGGTGTTGGTTACGGCGCGCGTGGAGCCGAGCTCCACTCCCAACTTCTCTCGGGCAGTCAACAACAACGTCCTACAAGACGATAAACGGTTTGAATGCTAGAAGTACTGGGGTCCGCACAGTGGAAAAAAGATATACATTGTGATGACGGATCGAATAAAGTTCTAAAAAAGATAGGAGAGAATCAATTTACGATCTAACAACGTAGAACCTCTAGTTTTAAACGGATTATATAGGAAACAGGCGATAATCCTTTCGGAAATACTTATAAAACAATGAAAATTAGTAAGAAAGGAACATAAAATGCAAGAATCCAAACCATACCTATATGCATTCCAGATATTCTTCCCTCGCTTGCCCATTCATCAGCTTGATAAACAGGTTCGAGTAGTCAAATGGCAGAAACGGAAATCTGGAAACTCTTCAACCTAATTTATCAAACCATAATTACAGAGCTAGACTATTAAAGATTGAAGAAAAGAATAATGACTAAGATCTGAAAAACTCTTAGTTCTAATTCTAAAATTAAAGCGATAAAGTTACTTTTCCAAACCTGATGATGAAATGTCAGAGCTGGTATGAGGGACTGCACTTCATCTATCGGCGTGTCATTGTAGTCCACAATGACTGATATGCGGTCGATTTTGCATGCCCTTAAATAGATTGACTTTCAAAAAAAAAAATATCGGAAAAAACAACAACTTAGGGTCGCGTCGATAAGACACTGCTGTAGAAGAAACAACCACCATCACTGATGTAAACTTCGTGAGCCAAGAAATTTACCTTCTGTACTGAAACTATCTCAGAAACAAATCTGTGCTGTATACTAATGTGTAGAAGATTGTGATTTCTCTAAAAACGGAAAATATGCACTGAATTATGCCCTACGTAGTTCTCGATCAGTACAGAAGCGAATGGAAACTTCACTAGAATTCGACCTAATGAACGGATGCGAAAAGGATTTGGGTGATCTGCTTTGGTGATTACCAGTTTATTAACTGACAAGCAACTGACTCACTTTTAGTGGTATTTAGCTCCTCATGTAGAATTCGTAGCTGATTCCTCATTACGTCCTGTGTCAACCACAGTAGTACTCTTAGGATCAAAGCCTTAAAATTAATTTGCTCAACAAGGCCCAATCCATGAGCTACTGCAAATTGTAAAGGAAACATTTTACAATAAAAGCTATACACATATGCTCGGCATCCACAACGAAATGAGCATTATGCCGTTATGCTGCCGATATAACGCTGAAGTTTGGTTGCCACGATTCACGTCCGTGAGGTGTCCCAAACTCATAACATGCTTCCTTAAGTGCGCTGAGTTTTTTGATTACCAAAAGTTGATTCAATGACCGATGGAGTTCAAATTGCTGTAAGCCGGAGAAAACTCACCTTCTCTTAGTGCGGTGTCTCGAAATGGTAATCACCTATAAAGCACTCAGGGTGCACAGTACCATTATATGATATCTGAAAAACGAGTGATATTTCAAGTGATATCTGTAAAAATGATCCAGTTGCAGCAGACGGCTAGAAGAACATATAGTATACCCGATATGTGGAGTGCTGTGCAAAAACGTTTGCGTCAGCCGGGATTCGAACCCAGATCTCACTCTTTCCGGGAGCGTATGCTAACCATTGGACTACCGACGTTCGTTTTTGCGCAGCACTCTTATTTGCGCTATAACGCGCTGTCTGCCAACAGCCAACCGTTGACGGTCTGGCGGGGCAGCCGCTATCGGCATTGAACCCACTTGTGTTGACAGACAAATTGGGGCTATCGAATAAACTTAGTAAAGCCCAATGAAAAT